ACACTCTATCCACTGGAGGTAGGGTTTTAAATCAGAGATGGATCACTCACTAAATTTGCTTCCGAATGGAGAGACAGACAACAGATAAATAAATAAGTAACTCCACGTTGGCAAAATGTGGGGAAGGAAACTGTGACTGACGTGGAAGCTGGCGTTGGTCACTGGCATCAGGGAAGCCTTCCAGAACAGCGTCCAGCTCAGCTCACACCCATTCAGTCACCTTTTCATAGAACTCCTTTCCCGAGGTTTGTTTACACCTGTGTAGATGTACCTCGTGTGCCCCCACCACCTGGAAGCAGCCTTCATACACCCCAGCACCTAGTACGGTGCCTGACATGCAGCAGGCATTCCAAGAAGTTGTCCAATGATGATAACAATGTAGAGGTAGCCAAGGGAAGGGCAATGTAAGAGAGGGAATGGTGAGTGCAAAGGGCCTGTGGCAGAGCCACTGGGATTCTCCAGGGTGTCCTCTACATCCTCACTATGGGCCCCACTTCTGAGAATTGTGCCCCTACCCTATCCCTGTGGTCTGTTTCATCCAAGTCCTTATTCTCCATCTCCTTTCTAACTCTTCATAGGTAAGTTTCTAAACCTCCCTGTGCCCCTTTCCTCCTGTGTGAACCAGAGACAATGATGTTATCACCTTGTGGTGGCGAGGATGTGAGTGATACCCATGAGGCTGCCAGAACAGTGCCTGGCTCGTGGCACTCGGTCATTGCTGGCTCGGCTGTTGTTACCAGTCCATCCTCCAATCTGCTGCCCAAGAATCTCTGTGAAAAATAAGTTTGCAAAACACAATGTGATGGCCTGGATTGAATCCTAGAGTGGGAAAACGACATTAGTGGGAAAACTGTGACAACCAGAACAGTCTGGGTTAGTTAATTATAACGTTTCGGTGTTGCTACCATGGTCATGTAAAGTGAAGTAAAAGGATGACCTTGGGGTAAGTGTGAGGTGGCAGATAGAACTCTGCACAACTTTTGCAGCTTCTCTGCAAACCTCAAATTATTGCAATATATTTTTATTTAAAAACAATATATAACAACTTTTATATTTAAAAACAAACAAGAAAATAGTTTTAAATATATATAGTTGATCATGTTACTTCTCTGTATAACAACACTGGGATAGCCAAGGATATCAAAGGATAAAATGTAGACTCTCTAGCATAACAGGAGACCCTTCATCCCCCATCCTTGCTGGCTACACTTCTCAGGGCCTTGGTTTCCTCATCTGTAAATCCTCACCGTGGGGAATAAATGATCCACCTCGATATTGTGAGGACTAAATGAGTTAATAGGAACAAAGCACTTACCGCAGTACCTGGCCCACAGGTCCACATTCAGTACGATGAAAACACAGATCTGAGAGAGAAGACTGAAGAAGCTGGCTTTGAAGATGAGAAAGGGGCCATGAGCCAAGGAATATGGCCAATCTCCAGAATCAAAGGACAAGGAGCCTCCAAATAGAACGCAGACAGATTTTAGCCTTATAAAACCCAATTTTGGATTTCTAACCCCCAAAACTGTAATTTAATGGATTTTTTGGTCATTTGTTATAGCAACACAGGAAACTGATACATATGCTAATATACTGCCTGCTACAGAGCAGAAACTAAATAAATTTGAGAAACTATTTTTACTCCTAGCCTTTCCTCAAGCAGGCCCTGGAAGGCCATGTACCCCAGGACCTTTGCATATGCTATTCCTCCACTTGGAGAACCCTTCCTTTTCTTTCTGTCTGGTAAAATCTTCCTTACTATTTTTACAAGACTATTCTCTAATACCTTGGAGCTTTTAAGTTTTCTCCCAGCCCTGAGAGTGTCTCTTCATAGCTTTCTTTTCATCTATTTTCACATTTATCACAGATTGTATTTATTTTGGTGATTTTTTTCCTCAACTCCATCACTAGACAGTGAGATTCTTTGTAGCTCAAGCTAAATGCATCCACTGCAGGATACTCAGGCAGCTATTCTGCTTGGATGAGTAAATGAATGAGAGAAAGAGTGAGTGAGTGAGTGATTGAGGCCATGAAGGATGGGTGGGATTTGGAAAGCCAGGGGTGGCAGCATTCCAAAGCCAGAAATGGGGTGAGACCATGACACAAATTCCACAAAATCATCCATTTCCTCACCGTGGTTAAGCGTTGCATGTTGCACACTCTGGTTATCCAAGGGGTTGACAGCCGGAGAGTTTGCACTACAGAGAACACCAATAGAGGAGGTTGAAAAGCTAATAAAATATGTTAAATGAACTTCTAATTTAGAATAGTTTGGGAGTTACAGAAAAGTTGCAAAGATAGTAGAGTTTCCTCAACTTTTAATGTCTCACATTAGTACATTTGTCACAACTAATGAATCACACTCTTCATATATTAATATGCTTTTTTTTAACTAAAGAACATATTTTATAGAGATTTCCTTGGTATTCCCCTGATGCCCTTTTTCTGTTCCAAGACCCCATTCAGGACTCTCTGGATTGTGAATTTCTCAGACTTTCCTTGTTTTAGATGACCTTAACATTTGAGGAGTCCTCAGGCATTTTGTAGGATGTCCTTCCGTTTGGGTTTTTCCAAAGTTTTCCCTATAATTAGAGTGGGGTTGTGGGATTTTGGAGGGGGGAGGGGGAATACCAAGAGGTGAAATGCCCTTCTCATCACATCATAGTAGGATCCGTGCTCTCAATGTGACATTACTTACTTCATGCAGAGGTACTATTTGCCAGGTCTCTCCATTCTACTTTCCATACTGTACTCTTTGGAAGAAAGTCACTAAGTATAATCCTCACTTAAGGGGAGTTATGTACCCCCTCCTTGAGGGAGGAATGGCTAAGGTAAATTACTTGGAATTATTTTATCTTTTCTAGTTATTTATTCAATCATTTATTTATATCAGTATGGACTCATGGATATTTATATTCTACTTTTTTAAAAAAATATATATTTTATTGATTTTTCACAGAGAGGAAGGGAGAGAGACAGAGAGTCAGAAACATCGATGAGAGAGAAACATCGATTAGCCGCCTCCTGCACATCCCCGACTGGGGATGTGCCTGCAACCCAGGTACATGCCCTTGACCGGAATCGAACCTGGGACCCTTCAGTCCGCAGGCCGACGCTCTATCCACTGAGCCAAACCGGTTTCGGCTTATTTTCTACTTTTGGTTATAATTCAAAACTATATTATTTATTGTCATTGCTCAAATTGTTCCAACAAGCCCTCACTGAAATAGAATCTAAAGGGTGCACTTCAGGAACAAGGAAAATTATTCTAGCTGTAAGTTCTGAGATGCAAGAAGAAAAGATGAGCAAAGAAATTGGTAACTGTTTGAGTCTAAAGTTATATTGACTGTTCTAAAACAATTTAGTAATGACTCATGGGGTGAAAAAGGAAAAGATTAAACTTAAAATACACTATGACTAAAGCATATAATTGAGAATATGGGTGATTAAAGTATCCCAAAGTCCTTATATTTTAAGAAAGCAAAGTAAAAATATTTTAAAAACTGACTTTGTAAGTATCCATGTCAACATTTCTAGGGTAATCACTAAAACAATAGAAATAGAGTATATAAATTAGGAAGAAAAATGGAATGGGGGGAAAAAATCAGCCCTAATGAAAACAAGAAAGGGGTGGGAAAAGAAAAAAAAAAAGGGCATCACAAATAGGAAGCACAAAATAAGATGACAGAAATAAATCAGATATATCAGTAAATATAGTAAGTATAAATGGACCAGATGATCTAGTTAAAAGACAAAGATTATCTTAAAACAACCACTTTTTAAAAATACATATTTTTATTGATTTCAGAGAGGAAGGGAGAGGGAGAGAGAGATGGAAATGTCAATGATGAGAGGGAATCATTGATCGGCTGCCTCCTGCACGCCCCACACTGGGGATGAGCCCGCAACCCCGGGCTCGTGACCGCACGTGACCGGAGTCAAACCCGGGAGTCCACAGGCCGAGGCTGACCTAAACCAGCCAGGGCTAAAACAATCACTTTTTATTATGAAAAATTTCAAATATACAGAAAAGGGGGAAGAACAGTAGAGAGAACATGTGCCTGCCATGTAGAGTCAGCATTGTTAGCTACTTGTGTTTGTTTCATTTATGATATTTAGGAGACTATTAACACATATTTTACATGGTAAACCTTACATAGTGAAGTAACATTTAGATGGCAATAATGAGGTAGTGTTCATTTTCAAGGCCAAGCCGATCAAGGTCCCAGTAGTTTTTAGTTACGTAACTTACTTGTGTGTTTTTTTATTCAAAGGCTGTTTCTCCAATGGATTCTAGTGAGAGGGTAGGAACCAGGTCAACTTTTCTGATCATTGCATTTCTAAATGTTTGTTGCATCTATTAGTAAAGGATTCAGTACAGTGCTTGTTACATAGTAAACACGTCATGTAGCATAGCTTTTATTTTGCTGTTGCTGTTATCAAAAGCGTTCAGCAGAAGTGGCACAAAATAAACAAGCAATAATTTGCAACTATTTATACTTAGTGCTTTTCAAACATCACAGCGTCTAGCACACATTCATTCTCCCATAAACATGTTTATAATGAGAATAAATAGTACTTTCATTATTATTAAAAGTCTCTAACAGTGCCTGGCACTACATATGCAGAGGGAAAGTGGAATTTTATTGTTCTTAATTGTTATTATCGAGTAAAGCACTTAACACAACTGCTGGTCCCCAGGGGCCCTGAAAAAACAATCTTCGTGGGGACACTCATTTATCGGCGTGCGGACACACCCCTAGCTCGGTCCTGCGCGGCGCCCCGCCCCGCCCCGCCCCCTGCCTTCTGGCAGCCCGGCTCCCTAGCCCAATGCCGCGCCTGCGCACTGCGCCGGGAGCAGTTCCGGGAGCGCAGCTTCCCGCCGCCCAATCGCGAGCGGGTCAGAGCCAGCCAGACTGCTGCGCGCGTGCGTGCGTTCGTGCGTCGCTGCGTGCGTCGCTACGTGTGTGCCGTGCGCTCACTGGGCACCGTGGCCTCGCCCTCGCCCTCCGCCCCCGAGCTTGCACCGCGTAGGCCGCCCCTCCCTCCGCGCGCACTCCGCAACGACCCCCGGCCGGCCCCCCCCCCCGTTCGAATTTAAAGGGGGCGCAGCATTAACGTCCCCCGCCTCAGGTGACCTCTCAGGGGTCTCCCCGCCAGAGGTGCCCCGCCGCCAAGGAACATGGCGAAGGTGGAGCAGGTCCTGAGCCTCGAGCCGCAGCACGAGCTCAAATTCCGAGGTAAGCCGGGGGCCGGCTATCTTATGCCGCGGGCTAGGCCCGCGCCCCGGCCCCGAGGGACCGGACGACCTGGCGGTGACGTCGGCCTCCGCTTCCCCCAGACGGCGCGTTCGCCCCGCGCCCCCTGAGGCTGAGGGCCAGGCGTCCGGGCGCGTGGGTGGGTGGGCGGGGGCGGGTGCGGTGCCGCTCGCCTCTCCCTCCAGACACTCGGCACAGTTGCCATGTTAACTTTACCGTCTAGTTGGCGGGACTCTGGATGGTGAGCCTTGCCGACAGGCTGTGCCTGCTCTCCGCAGGGTTGACCTCTCCAGGTCATAGGTCAGGTGGCCCCTCCCCAGAGGGGCCTGCGCTGAGCAGCCACCCCAGCTGGACACCTGCAGCCGCCCCCTGTCGCGTCGCGGCCCTTGGTCAGCCTGGCGCTCACCGCCACCATGTGCGCCGTGTTTCTGCAGCAGACACAGCAGACGGGAAGCGCCCTGAGGGCAGGAGTTGGTCTTCCTCTGCCGCGTGCCCAGCACATGATGGGAGCCTAACACCTGCCAAGCACATGAACGGGAGGAACCGCCGCCGGAGCCTGGTGGACGCCCCGGCTTCCTGGTGCTGCCACCCCAGGCCCGTGGCTCCTGTCCGTGCAGCTGTGGGCAGCCGCCAGGGTGGGCACATCCTTTTCCTCCCCAGAACTGCCCCGAGCGGAAGCCAGAGGAAGTTGAGTGTGCCACCGGGCCCTTCCCAGTGTGGACCTTTCGTTTTTATGTTTCTTTTTCTCCCTACGTTCTCCAGTAAATTGCAAGCGCTGTGAGACAACAGGGACCTCGTCTGATTTACTGGGTCCTTCTCCCCATGGGTGGAGTAACTGCAGTAGCCCTGTGCTTGGCCCTAGAGAGACAGCGATTGAACCAGACAGATAAGTTCCCTGCTCTCACAGAGCTTACTTTATGATGCAGGGAGACGGACCAGCGGGTGAGAGTGTTTCAGAGGTGGTACATGCTGTGAAGGAAATAAAGTGCTTGAACAGCGAGGTCACCTCTGTATCGGCAGCACTTGGCCCACAGTACCTGCTCAGTAGATAATTGTGGACTGAATACTGGCCAGACACCCAGTTGGCAAATGGCACATTTGAACCCAGACTTCGGAGCTCACACTCTTTTTTAAAAAAATATATATATAGTTTATTGATTTTTTTTTTTTTTTTATAGAGAGGAAGGGAGAGGGATAGAGAGCCAGAAACATCGATCAGCTGTCTCCTGCACACTGGGGATGTGCCCGCAACCAAGGGACATGCCCCCGACCAGAATCGAACCTGGGACCCTTCAGTCCGCAGGCCGGTGCTCCATCCACTGAGCCAAACGGGTCAGGGCCAGAGCTCACACTCTTAACAAGCATGTTGTCTGACCCCTGGGAAATACTCTACAACTGTGGAGTTGCTTCCTAGGTTAACAATTCAGAGTGACTCCAAATGTGTAAAGAACCAAAGGTTTTTCCATTTAAAATGAAAATTAGAAAAACAAAAACAAGAAAACCCACCACAAAACCTAACAAGGATCATTGTTCCATGACAGTACTTTAACTTACATGATGTTCCCATCACCTGGAAGAGCCAGGCTGTTAAAGTGAATGTGGAAAGTCAAACTTGGGTTGTCTGAAGTTTTCTACCCTGGAAGCCTGGTGTGGCTCCTCTTGGGAATTGGCACATTCATTCATTTAGTCCACAGACATTTCCTGATGCCTGCTCCATGGCAGAGCATGAGTCCCATCACCGGTATGTTCCCATTGTCCCTCAACCCCCCCCTCTAGAACTTAAGTCTAGGGAAGGGGACAGATGATGGAATCAGCCAGGATAATGCAATGACCTAAGTCAGTGGTCGGCAAACTCATTAGTCAACAGAGCCAAATATCAACAGTACAACGATTGAAATTTCTTTTGAGAGCCAAATTTTTTAAACTTAAACTATATAGGTAGGTACATTGTTATTAACTTAATTAGGGTACTCCTAAGCTGGCCTTTGCTAAAAATGTTTCATTTTATAATAATAAAGCCACCAACACAAAATAATTACAGTTCTGAAATTGATGACAAAAATACCTGTAGGATTTGCAGCTGGTTGGAAAAATACAGGTAACTTTATGCTTCGAGTAGGTCCTTTTGTCACCAGTGTGTGATTTGCAGACGCGACTAGCACTAACCACTGCACAATGAGACTGCTGACTGGCTCACTCAGCTGGTGCATGAATTGCGCGCCTCCCCCGTGTATCCCGCGGCCCGCCTGCGCCCCGTCTCCTGTCACCCAACCAACCGACAGACCTGACCGACACCCCCCACTTTTTCTAACGCCACTTCTTCAAAATAGACTCGCCCAGGCCGAAAACTGACTTCTGCGCATGGGCCACGAAGTTTCAGTCGCACTGTACGTGTGCGCCCGCACATGGTATTTTGTGGAAGAGCCACACTCAGGGGGCCAAAGAGCTGCATGTGGCTAGCGAGCTGCAGTTTGCCAACCACTGACCTAAGTAATCCGTAGTGCTCCGAGAGCAATAAGGAGGTCAACTCTTGAAAGGGGTATTATTTGAGCTGAGTTAAAGGTTGAATGGAAGCAGCTAAAAGAAGAATTGGGAGGGGAGCATGTCAAGTAGGGGAAATTGAATGTACAGGCTGAGCTGACTGGGCTCCTTTGGGATGCCACCTGTAGTTCTGAATGATAGGCAAGGAGCATTTGTTGGGGTCATGAGGCAAAGTAGGAGAAGCAGCTGGCTAGTAGACAGGGGTCAGATCTTCTAAGGCCTTCTGTGTACAGATGCAGACATTGTGCGAGGTCATATTGTGATGCTTCTCCTTAGCTGGTCCTTTGATTGAAGCCCTGCAACCTCAGCCTCTTCCCTCCACCCCCTATATTGACCATGGGCTGGCCATTCTCTCCTCAAAACTTAGGATCATTCCCTAGTGATAAGGATGATGCTCATAATCTACCTTGCCTCCTGTAGAAATTTTTGTTATTGTTAAAAGGAGTGATACTATGGTTTTTCAGTGGCTTTGTAAATGTACAATATTATACTAAGATTGGTGGTTGTATTTAGACAGCTGATTTTATCACTTCAGCTTTTTTGCTTAAAAGGTATGGAGAAGAGTGAGCTGCCTGGTCAAAGTAATGATGGCCAAAGTCACTGGGTATTTTGGCTTAGAAGTGGCCCAAGAGAAGTCGAGGTGTCAAATTGTTGAAGGCTGTTGACTCATGACTTCAGAAGAGGCATCTACAGTCATGTGTAAACAAACCATTTTATGAGATTTGTTTGTTTGTTTTAAGCTGATCACTAAAAATTAGAATAGAAATTAGAATAGAAGCTCAATACCTTGGCTTGCTGTATAGAAGATTATTTCAGGATGAGAGCTAACTGGTCTCTTCCAAGTTAACTCAGGGTGATGACTCTGACTTTGGGTGGTTCAATGAATCAAACTTTAACTTAGCTTAAGAAAATAATAATTAAAATACCGATCCAAAAAAAAATTAATCACCTTTTAATTGCAGCCTAAGTGATGTGGGATTGTATTGGGTTCCAGTTGATCTTGGGCATTTTGTTTGATGATGTTGAGTTAAAGATGTTACGAAAGAAGAAAGAACACAGATCTACATGACCTTGTTCTGTCTTATAGAAAGTGCCATGTTGCATTGTGTTCAGTATTAGAAGAAAACCTGCTCGCCTCCTGAAAGAAGCATGACACCATGACATTACCCAGGGTGAAATAGAAGCTGTTTTGGACTGGTGACCTTTCTGAAAGAATTAAAGGCTTTTGTAAACCTCTGAAACCTGTTCTTTGCATTGTCAAAGAGAGTTTTCTGAATTAGTCACTTTGTAATCTCTTCTTTCTCTGTTCTCTCCCTCTTCTTCCATCAGATTCCATCCATGGCAAATAATATCTTCTATTGCTTTGGTCATTGTCCAAGACTCTTAATCCCTCTTCACATCCTAGGACATCCCTCCTCCACTCCCCCAACCCTCCCTCCATGATACTGTCATATGAGAATGGTCTATTAACCATCCTTATGAGCTGGCAAGTTAAGGTTTAAATCTGCCATGAACCTACTTTACTTTTGCCTTATTCTGAAACTCAGCTAGTGGCCTTCAGGAAATCTCAGATGGTTGTACTGTTGGTCAGTATGGATATCAGGTGGGCTGTCACCGAAGGATTGGTGTGATTGACTGCTACTTTGGGGACGAAATAGCATGGCAGATAGGTTGGGGATACTGTCTTTTGTTTAAGGAAAGCATGCTTGGAATCATTAGTTCACCCCCCTTAAGTTAATGTGTAATTTAACATTGTTTAGGGAGCAAAAACATATAAAAACCCTGTAGATATAGTCAGTTGAATGCAGTAATTATCTTTCATATGCTAAGTACAGCATTAGTTCTTTAGCTTTAGTATAGCACTGATTTCCTTAACATTTTATGACTGCATGGACCAGACTGTGTTTTACAGTACAACAAAATGTCAGCAGTGTGCTTAAGATTCTTTACGGTAGTGGTTTAAACCCATCCTGAATAAATGAAGATTACCTTCATTCATTTAATTATTAACCAGCTTGCTCATCAGAAGCAAGGGGCATTTAATTTACTAAGGTTTAGTCAAACTTAAATCTCGATAGATTATATTATTTCTGAGTTTTTGTTACTGGGAGAAAAAAGAACTAAAAGTTAACTTTCTTTTATCCACTTAGTTACTTTTCTTCACAGTTAACTCCTTTTAGTGGGGGGGAAAAAAGGTTAGTTCTAGGCTCTACGCTTATATTCGGGTCATGCTAGCTCCTTGATGTGTGTAATTGTAACATGCATCAGTTACCTTCATAATGACCTGTTAGTTTTGTATCCAAGTGGAATTGATTAAAATAATTAGTCTGAATTGATTCTTATTAAAAGAGATGAACTCTTAGATATTATTAACACTATATTAACACTAAATAAAATTAATAAATTAATTTTATTTATTAAAATTATCTAGCATATTTCCT